GGGGGGAGTTTCACATAATATAAACCAGTGTTAAAGTCAATTGGAAACAGATCAAAAGGGGCAGCTAATAACTGGCAAAGGTAAGGATGTTTTTGAAATTCTTCTTATCTAAGTATCTCCATGGACTTTGGAGTTGCAAGAGAGCAAGGAAGCAAGACTACCAAGGACTACTAAATAGGACTACAGAGATTCCTACACAGGTTGTTTCAGTGGGGCTTACTCCCAGGAAAGCGTTTTTAGGATTGCACTGTTCATTATCCAGTCTAATTTTTTAAAGTGATGCCAGGGCACTAGGAATTCTCCACTGGTCTCTCTCTTTTTTATTTCCAACTTTGGTACAGAGCATGGGTCATGCACGATTGGCTATAATTCAGTTCCTTCCATCTTCTGCTCTACTTTTCCAATCCGCATTGCAACAAAGCAATCATCATGGGATCATATGTATGACTGTATCACAATTCTTTTTGTACAGTGTTTTACTCATACGCATTAAAGTGCTCCAAATAAAAGGAATCTTAATGTGATTGTGCTCACAAGTTATCAAGATGTTTCTTGTGTATGTTTTACCAATACACAGGAACACATATGTGCATCAGTTAAACTCCTTACAAAAAGAATCATGACTAGGCAGTTTAAACTGTCTTTCCTTCCAGGATCAGCTTCCCCAGGCGCCCTGTGGCTTGCAGGGGACCTGGGGAACCTGAGGAGGAAGGCAGAGGGGGGAGGCAGTTTAAACTGCCTTCCCTCCCAGGATTGGCTTCCCCAGGCGCCCTGCAGCTTGTGGGCTGCCTGGGGAACCTGAGGGAAGGAAGGCCGTTTAAACTGCCTTCCCTCCCAGGATCGGCTGCGGGGTACCTGGGGATGGCAAGGGAGAACTGAAACTGACCATTGCCTTTCATCCCCAATTCAGCGCTCCAAATAAAAGCCAAATAAGATAGGCTTTTATTCGAGAGCATCTTATTGGCAGCCGAATCAGATGAGAGAATCTGATTCAGCTTAACTAATTCATCTTAACTAATGTTCAGTTTAGCAAAGCCGAATGCACACCCCCTAATCATGACCATCATGGGATGAAGGAAATGAAGCAGGTTTGATATCGGTGAATGGAGCTCAGATAAAAGATTGAGTACAAGGGCTTTGGGGAAAACCCTCCATCATCTATTAATCTGAGAGTCCTCCTGACATCTCTGCAGTTGAACTGTGTTTAAAGTGCTACATTTTATCTGACATTTGCCTGCACTAAAGATAGCTAATTGGCTATAAAACATAGTACATGCTGACTGATGACAAGCTGTCAATGAAAGTGCTTCTTCTTGAAATTACCAGTACACTCTGAATGAATAACTGGGATACAGCTAAAGTAATAATAAATAAAATAGGTGATGCATGCATCCAGTAGCACCTTAAAGACTAACAAAATTTGTGGCAGAGTATGAGCTTTTGTGAGTCACCACTCATTTCTTCAGATATCTTCAGATATTCTTCAGCTTTCTTCAGGTATCTGAAGAAGTGAGCAGTGACTCACGAAAGCTCACACTCTGCCACAAATTTTGTTAGTCTTTAAGTTGCTACTGGACTCTTGCTCTTTTCTATGGCTACAGACAGACTAACATGGCTGTCTTGATAGGTGATGCATATAAGCCCCAACACAACTTATCTACAAAATTAAAAGGATAAATTTCATAAAAATAGAAACAAAAGTATTTTTTCAACTAATGGGAGAAAATTATCTGTTCAATTAACCAGGGCAAGGATGAAATATGTTTTTTACCAATCAAAACACTATTTGGATTCTATAAGGTTACCTAAGATAGTATATGATTAAGAAATGTGATATTCTAAATTAGGGTGATATACAAAAAGACTGAAGGGTTTAAGCATTGTGGGAAGCCAGGACTGTGGGGGGGAGGGGAAAAAGAAAGGATGTATACGAAAATGATATATAGTATTGAGCGTGTTGTTATATCCTGAATAATAAAAAAAATTGTGCAAAAAAACAACAACACACTATTTAGATTCTCCTGCACAGAGTCTACTGGTAAATGCAAAAACAAAGCTCAAGATAAAATGACAAACTGGACCACCCAAACTAGTCTTCTAACAGAGTGACATTGTGGGAACTCCAAACAAAACAACCAAGACCAGAAGTACAGACAATCTGATAGACAAAGATCTAGTTTTCAAAGGCAGGTACCAGATAAAGTACTGGTCAGGCAGGTCAAGGAGACCATAGATGTGGTTGCAGTGGGGTCAAGCAGACCATGTTTCAGGGGTACAAAGACTGAGAGCCTGGCAGGTAGAGCTTTACACCATAACCAAAACTGCCTTTTTGTAGCATTTTAGCAATTGAAATATGCTTATTACACAGCAAGGAAGGAATGGAAAGCTGCATGCTCCAATTTTAGAAATTCTCCTCATTAAACTGGAATTCAGAACAATGAAAGAATAGAATGGGGGAAACTGGCTCATCTCCAACAAATTTGAATTCATTTCTCCCCAAAGGGCTGTTGTATTTTTCCAATGGCTTCAGCATAATCAGGTACTCAAAGGCATTGATATTAACTACTGTGTAGTTTTCCAACATATGTAGTCATTCAGCTTTTAAAGTGGGGGGAATATTTACAACAAAAATGGGACAGACTGGCCTACTTTTCACAAGTGTGAGATGACAGCCAGACTGGTAACATCCTGGTATAGAGGGAGTGACGTTAATTACTTTAATGATCGTGATAAAAGAGGTGTTGGTATTGAAGAATACCACCTTGACTATGCTAGCATCAGACAGCTAATCATTTTGCTTTGTTTCAGACCATAGTTTGTGTGCCCTACACTGCCAGTGGAGATGGTGTGATTTCTGCTGAAGATGTTCTTCCTGAAGCCAATCCTGTTCCTC